GTAGCTCAGAATCAGCTGCTGAATTTTACAAGCTTAGTCATCTGATTCCGTTAGTGAGATTTGTTAGAAACTGATACACAGAGCCAGCAAGATGGCTCAGTGTGTTAAGGCCCTTGCTGCAAAGCCCGATGACTTGAGTGTGATCTCTAGAATCCACAAGGTAAAAGGAGGAAATCGATGCCTGCAGGTTTTCCTCTGATTTCTGCTCGTGTTGTGCATGCGTTTGTGGTTGTGTGTGTGTGTGTGTGAGTTTTAAAAAAAGAGACTGGCACATGAGGGGTCTTGGGAAATGGTTCAGTCAGTTACCTGACAACAGGAGGACCTGTGTATGGGTCTCCAGCACCCACATGAAGCACTAAGCGTGGGGTGCGTTCCTGTAATCCTGGTGCTGAGGAGTTAGAGATACGATGGCTCCCAGGGCTCATTGTTCAGCCAGCCTAGCAGAACTAGAACCACAGAGCTCCAGGCTCAATGAGAGACACTACAGGAAACTATGAAACAGCCAGGTGGTGGTGGTGCATACCTTTAATCACCGGCAGAGGCAGGGGGATCTCCGTGAGTTTCCGGCCAGCTTTGGTCTACAGAGCAAGTTCCAGGACAGCCAGGGTTATGCAGAGAAACTCTGTTTTGAAAAACCAAAAACCAAACCAAAACAAACCAACAAAACCCCCAGTAAAACCAAGAGTGATTGAGGAAGACACTTGACCCCCACCTCCGGCCTCTGCAGACTCAGGCACTCACGTGTCTGTGTACCTGCACACCCAGCATTCACACCTATGGACCTGTGTGTTCATGTGCATCACACACATCAAATAAAAGAAACGGAGGCCCGAATCCTCGGGAAAATGTACCAATTTAAAATGTTTACGAATGCATTAGCCCTACTCAAATCTGCTTTCCAAACATCTTTGAAAATCCCAATTCAAGCTGGGCACGGTGGGCTCACACCTGTGATCCCATCACTCTGGGAGGGGGAGGCAGGTGGGTCTCTGTGAGTTCAAGACCAGCCTAGTTTACAGCGTGAGTCCAGGACAGCCAAGGCTACACAGAGAAACTCTGTCTCGAAAACAAGAAAACCAAAACCAAACAAACAAACATCCCAACTCAATGTCAAGTTTGGTTCTGACCAGCATGGAGAGCTTTAGCTTTTGCTTCCTAAGGACTCCGGATGTGTGTGCGTTGGCTGTGGGCAGATGCTTCTCTCAAATTCCAGCCAGTTCTCTACCAGGAAGTAGCCTGTTCAGCATGAACTCCTCACAAAGGTTGGCTGCAGGGCTGGATAATGGAAGCCAGGACCTCTGCATACTAGACTGATGAAACAAGCACTATTCATGGTGTAGCTGTGAGACCCTTTGCGTCCAGGCGCTCTTGGTACTTCCCTTGCTGCTGATAGGCTGTGTGCTCCTCAACTTTCTTTGTCCAGATTGATTTTAAGGAGTTTCTCTTCCCACTTCTTTTTGGTGAATGCGATCCTGGGACAGTTACTGGTGTGCCTTGGATAAGGTCACAGTCTGATAAGGTCAAACCGTGTGTCACAAGACTTGTATGGTCGGTTAAGACAGGTTTTTAATTGTAGGCTTGTTTGTGAAATTCCTCAAAGATTGTAGGTTAACATCTGGGAAAGGAGAAAGATGGTGCCGGGAGAAAGGCTGTATTGGGAGGAAAAGACCATACAGCAAGAGGAGAGGGGGCATACGTGTTTGAGCCTTAAGCATGGTTTGTTCTTACTTGAAATGTCTGTATAGAAACATTATTATCTTTGTAGGCAGTCTACACGGCTAATGTTAACTGCTGGAATTCTTGACACCCAGCTCCAGGATGAGGATTCCTTTTTCTACTCCTGTTCCCTTAATTTTCTGTTCTGCAATCCTGCCTCTCAGAGCTCCTCTTTCCTCCCTCCATTGGTCTCCTTCCTTCCTCCTTCTCTCCTTCTTCCTTCCTTCTCTTCCTTGGTCTCCTTCCCTCTCTCCTTCCTCCCGCTTTTTCTTGCCTCCCTCCACTCTTTTCTTCTTTCTATGTAGTTTTCATCATATTTAAGAGCTCAGTGTTAGGATCAATGAAATAATGATGAGCACAACAGATTTTAAATGAAAGGTTTATTAGATGGAGATGAAGAGAGGGAGTAGAGAGAGCCAGATGACATAATAGGGGGAGGAGAGAGGGTGCCCCGACAGAGAAAGAGGAGAGAGCAGGAGAGTAAGAAAGAGGGCAAGAGAGAGACAAAGTGGCGGGTTGAGCCTTTTAAGGAGCAACTTAACCATGCCTTACCAGGTGTGTCTACCTGGCGGGCCACACATGATGACATCATAGGTTGCTAGGCAACGCAGAAGCAGGCTGCCTAAATAGTAACACCCAGCCTCCAGTCCTGGGAACTGAATTGTCAGTGGCTCCATCTTGAGTCTCACCGTGCTGCACTGACCATGCTACATCCTTATCGGGATGGTTCCTGGTTCCCTTAGTGTCTCATCCAAGGGACCCTGGTCCTTGCTGCTTGTTGCGGTATGCCCCTCTGACTAGGTTCTTAGTATCTCTCTGTGAGCCTCATTTCTTGCCCTGCTCACTTTTCTTACACACTCATCTGTTTTCCAGCCAGCTCTCACCCTCTAATGACTGGCTCGTAACTTGGACCACCTACTCTTAATAAGAGAAGGGGTAGGGATGGAGCGCAACGCCCTCACCTGTAGGTATAAGATCTTCGCAAAAAGCCGCAGCTCTCCATCTCTAGTGGCCAGAGCAGCCCACCCCACTGTGTGGCCCTGCTCTCATCTACTTTCCCTCTGCAGGAGTCTTGCCTGCCTACTGCTGGGGTCAGGATGCTGAGCGCTGGCCTCTGGCATCTCTTCTAGCTTTCCCTTGCCACATTCTGCACTTGCTCCTTGCTGGCACCTTAAGAGTCCTGTCCCGAATGCTTTATTTATTTATTTATTTATTTATTTATTTATTTATTTATTCATTTATTTATTTAACTTTGATTTCTCTCCTGGTGTGACCTCATCTTCCATGGATTACCTTGCCATTTCTATGCAACCCCAGTGGGCTGGAACTCACTGTGTAGACCAGGCTGGCCTGCCACTCATGGGGATCAGCCTGCCTCTGTCGCCTGAGTGCTGGGATTAAAGGTGTGTGACATTATGCTCTCTGTAACTCTCACATCTTGTCTCTCAGCAGTTTGCTGCTTCTTGAGACGACCCCTCTCCACACCATCCATTCTTACAGTGTTCTGTGTCTTGGGGAGCAGGGAAGAGGAATGGGGACCAGGAAGGTGAGGAAGGAAGTGGTCAGGGTATAATTTCCCAGGTCCTGCCTGCTCCGTTGGCCACCACTTTCCTTTGCTGCTTGTCTTATAATCTTGTCTCCAACTGCACTTTGAACCACGTTCAGTAAACCCTGCTGCTCACAGTGCCTGGAGACCAGGAGGAGGTAAAGGCTTCCCACTGCTGCCGCTTCCTGGATCTTTAACAGCTCTTAGCGGCTTCCTTCCCCCTTCCCAGATCTCTGTAAACAGACTTTTAAAATGATTCATTTAGCTGGGTGTGGTGGCGCACAGCCTGTGATCCCAGCACTTGGGGAGGCAGAGGTAGGCAGATTGCTGAGTTCAGGTTCGGCTTGGACTACAAAGGGAGTCCAGGACAGCCAAGGCTACACAGAGAAACCCTGTCTCTAACAAAATAAAATGATGAAATAAGATAAAATGATTCATTTGGTTATTATGTATCTGTATGTGTGTCTGCATGAATTTTGCACCATGTGCATGCAGGTGCCCACAAAGGTCAGAGGGCATCAAACCCTTGGAATTGGAGCTACAGGTGGTTGTGTCCTGTCTGGTGTCCTCAGAATGGAATCTGTTTCCTCTGCAAGAGCAGTAAGCGCTCTTACCCACGGAGGCATTTCTCCAGCCCCTCACAACAGTAGGCATGTGCCACCATAATCTGCCTTCCTCTTAACATCTCTGATCTGTCCTTTCCTTTCTACACCCCTGGTCAGGGCTCTGGATTAGGCATCCATTATCCAGGGACTTCAATATTCTCCTCTGATATCTGCAGGAATTTCTCTCTTCCATGCACACACAGGGTCCACATACAGGGAAGCACACAAACACACATACACATAAAAATAAGCTAATTAGTTAAAAAAAAAAAAACAAAAAACAAAAACAAAACGGAAATGCCACCTAAAGTTGAGGGTGTGATCCGGTGGCAGAGCAGTTGCCTGCCCTGTGTGAGGCCATAGGTTCCACCCCCAGCACCGGAAATAAAGGAATAAATACAATCTGAGTTTGACTTCATGCTTTAGCTCCCGGCTGGTCTCTGCATGTCTGCAGTGTAAAGTCAGAGGATTCCTCAGCAAGCCTTGTAAGGCCCTTCCTGGCCTGACCCTCCTCCAGTGGCTCATCTTATATGCCATCCCTGAGAGCCTCTTCTAGAGTTCTCCCATGCAGCTAAGTCCTCCCTGATTATGCTGCCTGAATCTTGGGTAAACTTGTAGTAGAGGACTTTATCCTTTTTTTTTTTTTTTTTTTTTTTTTTTTTTTTGCCAGTACAGCAGGAAGGCAAGGCACTCCACTCTCAGGACCTGGCACAAGGCCAGTCACCCTCAACAGACTTTAAATGGATAATCAGAGACTGCCGAACCCATTGCACGGAGGGGGGGGGGGGCGGGGCAAAGGCACATGCAGTCTGTGGGCGGAACCTAGGAGCCATGCAGACTAAGCTTCTGCTCAGCGCCGTCAAGTCGCTTAGTCTTTGTAGAGTACCAGGCCCGGGTCCACCAGAGCGTGATCCAGGACAATCCCATGCAAAGGAACTGAGACCTAACATAGCAGGCCTTTTCCAGTGAGCTGAGAACACAAGGCCCGCTCAGTCAGAGGCAGGAAGGCAGGCGGCATGGGTAGCAGCGGCCAGGAGAAAGAGCAGGGCGTCTGTCACAGGCTCCCTGGCACAAACCCAAGTAGGAGGAGGCCAGGACTCATTCATCCAGGGCCAGCCCCGGGAAGACTGTCTAGCAGGCTGGCCCAGCTTAGGCAGGCCACTAGGCAGGGAGGGGATTTCCTCCCGCTCCCTCCCCCTTACGAACCTGCCTGGACGATTTTAGTTCAGGGAGGGCGGGAGGAGAGCCGGGCAGGCTGCAGCTCCTTGGCCGCCTGAAGAGCAACATCGGACGGCAGTGAGGCACGGCTGTGCCTCGGCCTCCCCAGGTAAGGTGCAGGGGTTGGGGACAGGCAGTGGGAGGCCGGGTGCAGGAGGCAGGTGGCAGGAATTCTAGGCAGCCCACTAAAGCTGAGGGAAAGGATGAGGGAAAGGATGAGGGAAAGGTGCTGCTTCTAGAATCTACCTTCTGGAAGAACCTAGAACGGCCCCGCTTAGGGTTCTGAAACTTTCCAAGTTGGCAGCACTTTGAAAACGGCTGGGGAGGTGACCCGAGAGTTTAGCTCTGCTCCCCCCCCCCCCCCCCCCCCGCTGCATTGTTCAACCACTTCATTACTTCCTCCCCAGCCTTATCCTCGCACTTCCAGGGTTATTTTTATTTTTGGCGGGAGAAGGGCTGGTATGTGTTTATGTGTGTGTTTGTGTGTTAGTGCCAGCTGCACCAGCAACGGCAACCAGAGTCGCAATTGTCTCTACCTCCACCTGAGCGGTGCCCTACCTGTGGTTCCCCAATCTCTCTGTGGGTGCTCTGGGGGATTGGCAGGAAGAGGTGAGACCCAGCAAGGCAGCTCGGCTCAGCTGCTGGGCTGTTTCCTTCTTCCTGGTATGGGCACCTAAGGGCTTTCATTTGTTTACTCGTTAGCTGAGCGTGCAAGTCAGTTGTCCGGAGGGAGGAGCATGTCATTTCTCCTCCTCTGAATAAGAAAATTGGAAATTTATCCGCGAGCATCTACAAGCTGACTGGCAGGCAGCAGCGGGGCATGATGGGAGTCACACTGAGGCCTGGATTGCTAACCCGCTCCGTCTCCTATTTACTTCCTGGGCCTCAGTGTCCTCATCTGTAAGATCATGGGTTTTTGTTTGTTTGTTTGTTTGTTTGTTTTTATAGACAAACTGTACAAACCGAAGACAGGCTGGGTGGCTGACACACCGTGGCACCGGGGTAAACGTCTGTGCTTTCCTCTTCTTTGCCCCTGCCTGTGTGGCACCTCAGGCTCGTAAAGATACAGGAGACCAGCCCTGTTCTTGACAGTACCTGGGTGGCTTGTAAACTGAACTGAGCCGTGGAGGCAGGTGCTCTAGGGAGCTGGAGGCCAGGGGTGTGAAGGAAGGCGGAGACCAACCCTGGCTGAAAGTACAAACACTGGGCCAGGGCTGGGACCAGACTTTTATGATGTGTTTCTGACTTGGGAAAGTCCAAAGACGTTATTCTCCTCCCATATTAAAAAAAAAAATCTATTTATTATTATTATTATTATTTTATTTATTTATTTTTTTTTTTGAGACAGATCTCACTGTCTAGACTTGGCTGCTTGGAACTCACTGTGTAGCCTAGGCTGGCCTTGAACTCCCAGAGATCCTCCTGCCTCTGCCTTCCTAATGTGCTGCTACTCCGAGCAGACTCTCCCCATTAAAAAAACTGTCTGACAATTCTCTACATTTACGAAATAAATTTTAGTCGTTTTTACACATTCCATTCCCTTCCTTCCTCCCCCTCTCTCCAACTGCTATCCTCAATCTACTTCAAGCGTGTGGCCCACTGAGTTTTGAGTGGAGATGAGGGTTTACTGAGCATCAGAAAGACAAATTATCTGTGGCACACCCTTTCCTCAACAAGTAGTAATCGCCCATAGTCCCTCAGTCCCACTTGGGGCCGAGCACTCAACCATCTAAAATGCATTATCTTGGGCTTGTGTATACCTGCAATCTCAGTGTTCAGGAGGCTGAGTTCAAGGCCAGTCTGGGCCACACAGAGAGACTTTGCCTCAAATACCAAACCAACCAACCACAAAGACATTATCTCATTACATCAAAACCTCACAGAATTCACCTAAAGTCACACGGCTAATACATAATGGATCTAGAATAGAAATTTGTAGACCAGACTTCATGCGATCCGCTCATTTCCTTGTTGTATTAAGGAAGCTTATTTTTTTTTTTTTTCTTTTCTGTTTCTGGCTCCTAATCAGTGTCAATGATTATACTTACTTAAAATGAGTACTGTGAATCTGTCGTAAGGCATAGCCCCTCCCTCCATTCAGCAAATCTCTTTTGCTTGTTCTTATCCCGGAACAAAGCAACCTTCAGTTATCTTTATAACCTTTTCTACTTTCTTTCTTTTGAAAATATTTACCTATTTGTATGAGCGTTTTGTCTGCATGCATGTATGTGCACCACCACGTGTGTGCGTGTTGCCCATGTAGGTCAGAAGGAGGTGACTGATCCCCTGGAACCGGAGGTACAGATGGTTCTGAGTCACCATGACACGTGTCCTTTGGAAGAAGAGCATGTGTTCTTAACTTCCGACCCAACTCCCCAGCCTGCATGTGCAGCCCTGGCTGTCCTGGAGCTCGCTCTGTAGACCAGGCTGACCTTGAACTCACAGAGACCCACCTGCCTTTGCATCCGAGTACTGGGATTAAAGGCCCAACTTCACATGGTCCTTTTACAGATGAAGTTCCTGAGGTATTAAGAGGTTTAATACAGGCTGGGGGTGTCACTCAGTGATACAATGCTTGCATACCATGTGAAAAGCCCTGGGTTCCTTCCCTACAACCCCCCCGCCCAAAAAAAAAAAAAAAAAGGTTCAGTACATTGCTCAGGTTGATGAGAATTTGTGCTTAGGCATATTGAGTTTCTCTGGAATTTGGGTTCTGAGTCATTATGTCAGTCTGTTAATTCTTAAAGTCCTTCGGTCTTTACTTACAGACTTTAAACTTAGAACTGAGGGGCTGGAGAGATGGCTCAGAGGTTAAGAGCACTGTCTGTTCTTCCAGAGGTCCTGCGTTCAATCCCCAGCAACCACATGGTGGCCGACAACCATCTCTACTGAAATCTGATGCCTTCTTCTGGCATGTAGGTACACATGCAGATAGAGTACTCATATGTGTACAAATAAACAAATCTTAAAAAAATAAATAAAATTAGAACTGAGAAGACTCAGCTTGGGAGGTGGAGACAGGAAGATCAGGAGTTCAAGGCCAGCCTTGGCTAGAAAGCCACAGAATACCTTGGGCTATTGACACCCTTTTTCCAAAACACAAAACCATTAAGTGAAGTCTGATGGAACGGGGCTGTGATCTCAGCTTCAAGGCCAGCCTGGAAAACTTAGTGAGACTTTGTCTCAAAAGTTAAAAGAAAGATGGGGATATAGCTCATTCGTAAAGGACTTCTTTAGTTCCTGCGAGGTCCTGGGTTCAGTCTCTACAACCCTTCCAGAAGAAGTACAAGAAAGGGCATAGTATTTCAGAGTTCCTATGGGATTCAGGAGCAAACAGTGGATGGCTGGCACACAGGGGCTTTGCTTGGTGGGGTGAGCTCCTGGTCTGGATTCTGCAAGCAGGCAGGGGCTGCACTGGAGCAGGAACCAGCGTTTTCTCACTCCGTTTCCTTTCTCCTCTTCCCTCCTTCATTTACTTGATTGGCCCATTCAAGGCTCGCTGGGTGCCTTTCACTATGGTAGATGCTGAGATGCAGGTGGAAAGAAAAAGAACAATCCTGAGCTTCCTGTAACTACTACAGACAGACAATAAATATGCTAGATATTTTTAGGTCTGATAAGTGTTTACAGCAAGGAAGCAGGAAAACATACTAGATAGAGTTTTGAGGGGAGGAAGGCGTAGGCTGGGGAGACTTCTTAGGGAGGTGCCAGCCGTGTGTGTGTGTGTGTGTGTGTGTGTGTGTGTGTGTGTGTGTGTGTTGAGGTTGCTGTGTTGGGGTTGGGGACCTGGCTAGAAGGAATAGCAAGTGCAAGGACTCTGAGGCAGGAGAGGGCCTGATGAGTGTCAGAGACAGGATATGTCCCACACTGCAACACATTCTTGGGAGAGGTTGATGGAAGCTGGATTCTACAAAAAGGCAGGAGCTAGCTGGGCATAGTGGCACACACCTTTAGTCCCAGCACTCAGGCAGGCAGAAGCAGGCAGATTGCTGAGTTCAAGGCCAGCCTAGTCTATAAAGCAAGTCAAAAATAAAAACCCGAAACCAAAAACCAAAAAAATCAAACCAAACCAAACCGAAACAAAACAAAACAAAGAGTTAAGTCATGCAACCACTGTATTTATCCTGGAGAAAATGTAAACAGCTAAAGGCTCTCCCCCCCTACAATTTGGGGTGCTATCAATGGAACCCAAGGTCTTGTGCCTACGAGACAACTGTTCTATGGACTGAGCTACACTCCAACCTTGCCATGGCTTTTGAGCAAGTTGATAAACTCTAGTGTATGATTTGTTTCAAAGAGCAGGTGAAAATAGGGATGGAGGGGGAGGCTAATTTTGGAGGCTTCTTCAGCTGAGTCATCCGCAATCTACTGTATAGAGGGATACAGAGACAGATGACCAGTGCCAGTGGGAAGACACAGTGAGATGTCTTCTTGTCATCTAGCTCTGTATATTGATAGCTAATGCTGTGTCTTAAAAAACTAACTCCAAAATTAAATGTCATGATTCAGTGGGTCAGGAATTTAGGGAGACTGAACACTTTTTCCATTCTCTTTGCTGTCAAGTCATCCACTTGACTGTATTTTTTTTTTTTCCAAGACAGGGTTTCTCTGTGTAGCCTTAGCTGTCCTGGACTCACTTTGTAGACCAGGCTGGCCCCGAACTCACAGCGGTTCCCCTGCCTCTGCCTCCCTGAGTGCTGGAATTACAGGCATGTGCCACTGTGCCCGGTTTTGACTATATTCTTGCCTGGGAAGTCCAGGAAGGTGTTGTTATTGGTCTGGTTCCCTGTTGCTTTTCTACATGGCCTCAGCCTCCATGTGGGGAGTGTGGGCTTCTGCAGAGCGTGGCGGTCTGCGGGTAGTCAACACACACATTTCTTAAAGCGTGGCCCTGGACAGTCCCCAGTACTCCTTCCGCCATGTGGTACTGGTTAAAACCAGGCACGAGGTTCCATCTCCAGTGGAGGGGATGGCAGCCAGTGTGCTCATCTTCAGTCTGCCACAATAGGCTCTGGAAACTGAATGGCTGCCCCACTGTGCCGATGCTGCCCCATTTTTCATCTAAATCACAGGATACCGAATTGCAGCAGTTCTTAGGACTTTTTGTTT